GGCAAGAACATGATTGACCGCGATTAGATGTGTTCGATTCTGCGAATCCATTTTTACGGATGCCGGATGGCATCTGTTTCGAGTATCCGGTTGCGCTATTGTGAGAATTTGCCGGCGCGCTTGGGCGGGTGCCCGGGGGAGGGGGAGGGGCCTGGCGAAGGTGTTGGGGTTCGCCCAGGGGGATCTATCCGATGGAATGGTACACCCGAGCCGCTGATTTGCATGCCGTGCTGTGCTCAGCAGGCTCAGAAACGCGGGCACCTGGACGAAGAAACGAGCACATGGCGGGCTCGATGCGTCGGCGGATGGCTCGCTCTTGCTTCGCAGAGAGGCAAGGGCTCGACCGACACACACGAACTGGAGAAAGAACAGAGGAAGAGAGGGAGGAGGCAGGAGGCGAATGGGATGGAGGAGGAGGAGGAGGAGGAGGAGGAGGAGGAGCAGGAGGAGGAGGAGGAGGATCGGGGAGAGGCATCTTTGGAGCCTTTGGGGGCCCTCGTGTGGCCTCCTGGGGGCCTCCCAGAGGCCTCTCAGGGGGCTCCCCTGGGCCTCTTGGAAGCCTTCGGAGCCTCCTTGGGAGGTTCTCTGGCCGGCTGAGCTTACAGTCGGGGCCCTGAAGAAGGAACCTTTTTCGTCGGGGAGGGGCTCCGCGTTCCTTACGTGTTTCGCAGCTTGCCTCAGGTCTTGCTTATGTTTTCGATCGGAAATCGAAGGTTAATCTATGGAAAAAAGGGGCCTCGTTCCTTATTGAGGGTTCCTTAGGTCAAGGCCCCGACTGTATTCCTGGCCCGTGTGACGCCGTCGGAAGTCGTCTTGCGGGCATCTCTTGGCCGGCTCGGGGCCCTCTTAGGGCGCTTCAGGGCCGTTTTGGAGACCATCCTGGGCGTCTTGGAGCTATCCTGGGCTTAGGGCGCTGTGGGGGGTCGTCTTGGGGGCCTCTTGGGCCGTCAGGGGGGGCATCTCGCAGGCTTCTTGGGCGCTGTCGGGGACATCGTGGTGGCCTCTGGTGCTGTCTGGGGCCGTATGACCGCTGAAAGTGAGCAAACGCTAGCATCTGTCAACAACCCAAGACAACTCATTGCCTCTTCGAGCCTTCCTAGCTCATGGAGGCCTCTTGGGGACCCCTTGGGCAGTCTTGGGCCATCTTGAGGCCATCTTGGGCCGTCTTGGTTGCACCTTCGGCCGCCTTGGAGGCATCGTGCGGCTATCTTAGGTTCTGTTTGGCCCATCATGGCCGTCTTGGAGGCCATCTCGAGTGTCTTGGTGGCTTCTTGGGCCGTCTGTGGGCCCTCGAGCAGCCGTCTTGGGGGGCCTCTTGGACCGTCATGGGGCCATGTTAGATGCCTCTCGGATGATCTTCGGGCGATCTTGGAGACTTTGGGCCGTCTTGAGCCGTCGGAAGGCCAAACAGAACACATGCAAACATCAATCCAAAACCGATGGAAACTCAAAGATGCTGGCCCCGCCAGGCCTTCCTGAATGACCTCTTGGAGATCGCTTGAGCTGTTTGAGGGCCTCTTGGGGACACTTGGAGGCCGACTTAGGCTTCTTGAAGGCCACGCGGGCAGTCTCACGGCGTTCCTGGCCAGTCTGGCGCCGTCGGAAGTTGTCTTGGGAGCCTCTCTGGGCCGTCTTGGGGCCTTCTTGGGGCGCTTCAGGATCGTCTTGAAGGCCATCTTGGGTGGAGGCAACTCGGGCCTGCTTGGGGCCCTGTGGGGGCCGTCTGGGCCATCTTGGAGGCCTCGTGGGCGATCTTGGAGCAATCTTGGGGGCCTCTTGGGCTATCTTGGGTTGTCGGAAGGCTGTTTTGATGCAAATGCCAACATCCTTCAAACACCTAAGGCACATCAATGACTTTGGCCTCTTCGGGCCTTCCTGGCGGACCTCTTGGAGACTCCTTGGGCCGTTTTAGGGGCCTCGTGGGCGCTTCTTGGGCCGTCTTGGGCTCTCTTGTGCCATCTTGGCGGTCTTGGAGTCATATTGGGACCGTCTTCGGAGCCATCTTGGAGCCAGCTTGGGCTCTCTTGGCGCCATTGTGGCCGTCTTGGAGGCAATATTGGCCGTCTTGGTGGCGATTTGGGTAACGGGGGACCTTTTTTTGCCTCGCTTTCCTGGTGGCTGGCGGGCTGGGCCGAAGCTCCATGGGGAGTTCTTCAGGAAAGAACCACCGACTTGCCAGACATTTGGCACGCCGTGGGCCCTGTGGCAAGCCACAGGGGGCGGCGGATCGAATTGCCGTCAGCCCATTCCGACACCGTGCCTGAAATGTGGGTTATAGGCCTCTGGAATGCTTCTTGGAATTTCGGGGGAGGCCTCTCGGGGGCCTCGTGGAGCAGTTTTGAAGCCTCTTGGGGGCGGTTGTGGGGCCTCCTGAGTACTTTTGGGGCGTGTTGGAGCCTCTCAGGGAGCGTCTCGAGGCTTCCTGGAGGCCTCTTGGGGCGGAGGACTCAAGCTGTATATTCATGTTCCCCGTCGAGAGGCTCCTCTGGGCGCCGTCTTGGGGTCCTCTTGGGCCATCTTGAGGGTCTCCTCGACCGTCTTGGGGCCCTCTTGGGCCATCTTGGGCCCCTCTTGGGAGCCTTTTGAGCGGCATTGGGCCGATTACGGGGGCCTCTTGGGCTGTCCTGGACGTTGTGGCGACGAGAATGGCGAACGTGCTTCACACATACGTTTTCCGAAGGGATTGGGACGATTTGTGCTTCTCGGGGCTCTCTCAGGGGGAGCTCGTTTGGGGCGCTTCGGGGGCCTCTTTGGGCCGTCCTGAGGTCATCTTGGGTATTTTGGAAAGCTCTTGGGCCGTCTTGAGGCTATCTTGGGTGTTTTGGACAGCTCTTGGGCCGTCTCGGACGCCTCCTTGGACCCCGCTGGGGGGCCTCTCGGGGCCCTCTTCGCCCTGTTCGTGGCCCTGTTGGGCGGGGGCCCCGTCCCAGAGGCCCATGCGATACGCTTCCGTGGCGCCCAGGAGCAGCCAGGAAACCAGGGGCCTGGGGCCCTTGATAGCCTCTCGAGCCCTCCACCTTTCAGGGTTGCATGCGCCTTGAGGCACTCCACTACGCGCTGAAGGCACGGTGGCTTATAAGAGTAATGTTGTTTCTCCGCTCTTGCTCCCTCCTCCCTCCCTGCCTCTGCCTCTCTCACTCCTTTCGGGCGCGGGTTGTTCTGCGCCCACCAACTCTCCAATACCAACGCTGTAATCAGTGTTTGGATGCGACTTCGAATCACGCTGCCATTTTTGCTTCGGTTGGGGAAAACATGTATACATCTAACGGCGGACCTGGGCTAGGCCCCCCCCGTTGCCTCCACATGCGACTGGAGGACCGTTGCTCCCTGAGTGAGTCCTGGGGCTCCCTGGGAGAATCGCGGGGCTCCGGGGGGGACGCGCCAGGGACAGGCCTGGAGGGACCGCAAGGCGCCCAAGAGGTTCCCCAGGTGCTCCGAGGGGCCCCTGTAGGACAAGGGAAAGACTCGACCACGCGAAGCCCAGTCGGCCAGCCGAGTTCAGCCTGCCTGGCCGAGTTCAGCTTGGCCGGGTCCTGGCCGAGTTTGGATGCTGCTGGGGGACGCCGCAGATGCGACCGACATGCAAGGAGATGGGGTACGCCAATCGTTTGTTTGAGGGGTGTGGCTTTCCCACCTCATGAGTCCTAGGAGCGTCCACGACGGTCCAAGAGGCCTCCGAGATCGCCCCGAGACGGCCCAAAACAGCCCAGCGACCGTCTCCAGAAGGTCAAGGAGAGTCTGAGGATGGGCCAAGGGGGCCCACAGAGCTTTTTGAAACGGCCATTAGAGACCAGAGCCTTCTCCGAGACGACCAGATGGCCTCCCAGATGCTCCGAGAGAGCCCCTTCAGGGCGCTCCAGAAACCGCTGACGGGCAAAAATCATGCTTGTTGCCGACTTGGTTTTGAAGGGTTGAAACTTTCTCGCCTTATCGGTTCTGAGCCTTTCCAGCCCGCCAAGCAGAGCGCTGGGAGGGCATCCAGGGCCTTCTTAAGCTGCCCTCTGAGAACCGACCTTTCAACGGCCCTCCGAGAACCGACGCATCTCCGAGACGGCTCAACGAGTGCCCTATTGGGAGCAGGCTGGAACACACCTGTGCCAGCCCCCCAGAGCCTTCTGTTGCTGGAGGCGTGGAGCCCATGGCCCTGGAGTTTTCACTTGAGCGGCGGCGGAGGGGCGGCCGCCAGCGCGGGCGGTCAGCCGGCGGGGTCCGCGCCAGGCGGAGGCACGCGAGTGGAACAGAGGAGGGCGTCCGCGGAGGGGAGAAGTCCAGAGGGAAAAACACACACAGACACAATGAATCGTCGATTCCGAAGAAAATATGAGAAAATATGGGGAGTGGGGGGGAAGACGAAAGCCCACAAAATGTTGGACAATATGGGGAGTCTTGCTATTTGTGTCTATTTATTTGTGCGTCCTTGGGCCCCTTCGAGAATCTTCACAACGAGGAGTGCGCAGGCGACCTCGGGCACCAAGAACTGGTGCACCAGAAGGCGAGCGACCAGTGCAGGTCGCCGCAGGAGGGCGGCGCAGGTCCCACCCGAGAGGCCAGCCGGCATCCGCGGGGCGGACGGCAGAATGCCCATGCCAGGCCAGGGCCGTCGGCGGGCGCCGTCAAGGGGTACAGTCGGGGCCCTGCAGAGGGAACCCTTTTGGTTGGGGAGGGGCTCACTGTTCCTTAAGTGTTTCACAGCTTGCCTCAGGTTTCCTTCTGTTCTAGATGGGACATAGAATTTTAACTCATGGGAAAGGAGGGGCCTCGTTCCTCATCTAGCGTTCCTTAGGTCAACGCCCCCACTGTAGGGCACCACGGAGGCGAGGCAGCGCGGGCCTCCAGAGCACAGTCGCACGTACGGCACCAGTCCAGGGACCAGGGCCTCGCCGAAGGGCACCACGACGAGCGCCCCGGCGCCAGCGCCCAGAAGGGCGCCTTGGCCGCCGGGGGGAGGGGGAGGGAGCCCACGGCACGCAGCGATGCACTGTGAAACGGTGCCGTTGGCC